CACAGATGTTTTCAATCAATGGAGGTAAACACAGACCCATTATAATAAATAATATATGGAATGTTTGCAGTAGCTGGCAGAACTGTTTTGGAATGAACTGAATAACATCCAAGTATTTTTAAGTGTACTTAAAATCAGTCGATTGAAATAAATTATCGGCATTCTGAGCAAACTGGTTTTATATTACAAACCGTGAGAACATTGCCCTTGATAACTTGATTAAGCTGAGTCATCTTATTTTCCAGGTGCATCATTGTACTGCAAGTCAATCAATACAGTAATTTAAGTCACTTCAACTATAATGGAAAAGTATGAAAAATTAGCTAAGATTGGAGAAGGGTCTTATGGGGTTGTATTCAAATGCAGAAACAAAACATCTGGACAAGTGGTAGCTATTAAAAAATTTGTGGAATCTGAAGATGATCCTGTTGTTAAGAAAATAGCACTAAGAGAAATACGTATGTTGAAGGTAGGTTAACTTTCTCAACATCATGGTACTGAGTGAACTATGTATGCCAAAATTACAAAGGATTCGAAAATGATTTTTTCATTAGATTTAAATTTAATTATTGACAACTATGGGAAATAAATTGATCATCACTTTGGACTTTGGCAGCTCTGATGTTTATCTGATATTATGAGTACAAGCTATAGATTGTTAAAATATTGAAGTATTTCTACCCTGGTTGGTAAAAACCCACTGTCCTAAGTCCCCATGTCCTTTACCCCCAGCCCTGGACTTTCTCTGCACCTCACCCCCCAATCCTTGGCCCCACAAACCAGCAAGTAAAAGAGCATCTCTTAACACAGGAGCCCATGGGACCGCGCCCCTGTCACTGTAGGCATAGCAGTGGTTTGGTCCTGCTTGCACTCCACTGGTTCTTACACATTTTGAATTGCTAGTACCCCCATAAAGGTTTTGTTACAGTTGTTTTCACTGATAGGATTTGACATGTCAGATTCACATGTTCTCAATGAGAGTATTTTCCTGTCCTAGCAATCTTAGTTTTAGAACCCTAGAAGATTCAGAGATGTGTCTTGCCAAAGGGTTTCAGCACCGGCCAAGTTCACTATGCATTCAGTGAGACTGAAAAATGACAATGGAACATTCTTGGGGTGGAAGGGTTTATACCCAGCTTTATTTCCATGGTGACAGGTCAGTCACTCGAATCCCATCCACTCAAAACAGGTCTGTGTGCAGCCAGCCGGTCTCTGCCTCTGGGCCCCTCTGTCCCCTCAGCTGTCTGTCTCTGTCCTCAACACTGCCACCACTCCAGTCTCTGCTCTTCTGCAGCTGTGCCACCATGTCGCCCAGAGTACTGGGCAGAGCTCTGTATATAGAGTCAATTGCAACACATTGCCCACACGTGTGTGGTGAGCTAGCTGACCAGGGCCAGTTGAGAATCCTGGCCATAGGAACCCTTACTTTATCCACAAGATGCTTCTTCTCCAGCACCCTTATTAGAGAGGAAACAGGCATAGGCCATGCTTCCCAGATATTAATGTGCATTGGAGTCTCCTGGGGACCTTGCTGAAAGGCAGGGTCTGAGGCCTGGGGTTGGCCTGGGATTCAGCATTTCTAACAAGTTCCTCTGGCACAGAAGCTGCTGGCTCATGGACCACTTTTGAATAACAAAACTGTGATTTCCTCAAGAACGTACAGCTGACCTTTATTTCTGACATGTGTCTTCTGTTTTTAGGAAAATGTCAGAAATCCAGTTTTTAAAGGGAGATAGTCATTAGGGGATTACCTCTACTTTCCCAATATTGCTTGCAGCAGGTTTACTCAACTAGTCAATCCTAGTGTTTTGTTTAAAATATAATTTGATGTACACGGAGTTGTCAAGAGGACATCCACCATGTCTAAAAACAGCTCCCCGTTACCTCATAACCAGCAGAGTGCTGGTCACCCAACAGCTCATCCACAGAGCCAGGCTACACCATGGCTCTGAACCTGGCGGTGGGTTGTTTTCAAATAAAAGTAATGCTTTTTACCACCCCTAAGCCTATGTCTTCAAGTGAAGTAAATGGTCAGGTAGTACTCCCCTGGCATCCCAATTTGAGAATGAACTTTAAGGTTAAAAAGTAGCCAGATTCCTATCCAGTGTGCTCCCCTAATGGGCAATCTCTTCTGCTTTTATGTTATGCCTGTGCATGTCCTGAACAGATGCCTTCCATGATAAATTCCACCTTCCCCACATCCTCCCATTATTTAAATGTGATTTGATTTTCCCCCTCTGTACCACCTGTTTTACTTTAGACAAGTCACTGTTTTTCTGAGCTAAGTTAATTTCATTTGCAAAGGATATTGAAATTGCCTGTCTACCCAAAGACGAATTTGACCAGGTTAAGTCTAGACATTGCATCCAGCTGTCGCATCTGAATCCCTTACTTTACTGGTTTTGTTTTCATCCTGTGGTTTCTACTGTAGCGCAAAGCAGTGGGCTTCCCTGTATGACCTGTTTCCTCCACTATTTGCTTTTCTGTTCTTTTAGGAAATGGCAAATTGATTTGGTGCTCTGGGCATATTTTTAATATGGCATGGATTCCCTTTCCCAAACTGTTGAGCAGCAGACACACAGTCACAGAGGGTTTTTTGTTTGTTTGTTTTGGTCAAGTGATGCTTACAGATACTGAGGTGGAAGATGCTATCTAAATTCCTGTCCTTAAAATTGTCTACTGGGCCTGCAAAATATTTATTCAGCATCTACTATATACACAGTGCTGCCACCACAGTTACAGTTGTTTTCACTGATAGGATTCAACATGTCAGTGGCAGTAGTAGAAACAAATCACCAAGTTTTGTATTTCCATTCCTTTGCAGCAATTAAAACACCCAAACCTTGTGAACCTCATTGAGGTGTTCAGGAGAAAAAGGAAAATTCATTTAGTTTTTGAATACTGTGATCCGTATATATAGATATGTGTATGTATATGCATATATATCTTTCTGAGTAAATGGCATAAGGTTTGGAGAGGTTTGTCTCCTACACTGGGAAAACAACATGGGAAATGAGTTTTAAGTAGGAGATCCGATGCCTGGTTTATAGCTTTGGTTCCAAAGTCTGCTCTGGTTAGCATCCCCTTCAAAAAGTATCCTAGTTTATATGCTTAATTATACTGTTAACTTAGCTAGCTACAAACAGGGTAGCCATATGTGCTGGTTTGCCTGGGATGATCCTGACTTATACACATTACCTTGATTGGATGATAAATTATGTAGTTACTTTAATGATTATTTTATTTAATCAGGATTTTTCCTTTGGTTTACAAACATTAAACAGAGGTTGCCTTATAAAATGCTTCAGTTTGGAATAGAATTTAACACATAAAACATCTATGCATATGTGAGAACAACAAAATCAAGAAACAGAGCTGAAAATACTCCTAGAATAGACAGTTTGATCAGATTTGAGGGTTGAGATCTAGTATTTCTGAGAGCCAATACTAAAATCCTGACTGGGTTCAAATCCAGCTGACATTTACATTAAATCCATGGCAATATGTAAACTAAATGGGTATTGATGATTTTTATAGTTAACTCAAAATCCATTCCATTTTCCTCAATTTATTATTCAGGTTTTTTTAAGACATGGATGTTTAGCATTTCCAGAAAATGCATACATTGTGTTTAGTTTTAGTGTTTATACTTTCAGTTGTATACTTTATTTGCTATCTCCAGAGAGATTCAAGCAATTTAGTTACCATCTATTATGGGTACATTAGATGAATTTAAAATTTTTCTTCCAACTTTAAGATTCTACAATTTTTACTAAGAATAGTTTCTCTTGTAACTGTAATAAAATTCTCCACAAGAGATTTATAGAGAATGATAAGCAAGGCCTTGTGTTCTTAAAATTGTAAGGGATTGGCAGAGAAACTATTATGAGAAACAAATCACCAAGTTTTCTATTTCCATTCCTTTGCAGCAATTAAAACACCCAAACCTTGTGAACCTCATTGAGGTGTTCAAGAGAAAAAGGAAAATGCATTTAGTTTTTGAATACTGTGATCATACACTTTTAAACGAGCTGGAAAGAAACCCAAATGGGTAAGTAATCTGGAAACTGAAGCTCTGCATGGCCAGTTCCCAGTTCCATATATGTGGGGTTAACTATGGCAAATTTCATATCTGAGCCTCATTCCCCTTCCTCATGGCTACCTCTCTCTGATCTTAGTTATGATGTGCTCATAGGGCAAGTGAATATTAACCTAGAGTAAAAATAATTAAGAAGATATCTGCTACATATATAAATCACAATGCATTTTGAAGCTAACTTATGTATGGATTGTCTGAATTCAAGGAATGAACCATGGTTCAGTATTAGGAAATCTATTCATATAATTCACTAATAGGTTAAGGGAGAAAAAAATTTATATGGTTGATAAAATTTGAAAAGGCAATTGATAAATTCTCTTTCCTTTTCTTAGCACATACTCAAAGGTTCTTCAACAGCTAATTTTATACTCAACATTGAAGAACCACCATTAAAATTAGACATAAGATAAGGACATTGTCATCACTGTAATGTAACATTGTTCTGAGAGCTCTAGCCAATGTAATATGATAAGAAAAACAAATAGAATATATAACTTTCAGAAGCAAGATTAAATTGTCAATATTTGCTTATTTTTCTACAAAATCTAAGAGAATTGCCTAAAAAGTTACTAAAACTAACGGAATTCAGTATAATGACAATAGTGTTCCAAATTCCACACACAAAAATTAACTGCTTTTGTATCAATCAGCACTTCAGAAAATCTAGTGGAAAAGGATCCCATTCAAATATCAACATCAACAAAAAGATTTAGGAATAAAGATTAAAAACCTTGTTCACATTCTACGTAAAGACAACTACAGAAGTTAACCGAGGTACATAAAGGATTTTATTTAAATGAACATATATTTCTGGATGGAAATACTCATTATTATAAAGATACTGTCTCCCTGATTTATTTGTTTATTGCACAAAAATCTAATCAGAATGCCAGTGGATTTTTTAACTTGAAAACCTTGGACTACATCAGGAAGCTTTTAAGAAAGAAGTAAGGGAACTTTAACTGCTAAGTATTAAATCATAATAGTTTTAGAGATTGCCTTTGACAGAAAGTACTGTAAAAAAAAACAAAAAGTGGCAAATTGGGTAAATTATTTGCCAGATGAATAATTAATTTCACATCTACATATGCAAATTTTGCAAGTCATATTTTTTAAAAGATTAACACCCAGTAAGAAAATATATTCATTCCAAAAAATTGTAATGAATTTCTACTGTTGCTCCAAGCTAGTTGCTAAGCATATAGCAGTGAACAGAACATAGAAAAAAATGTTGCCTAACCTATGGAACTTACATCTAGTTCTTACATGAAAAGGCAAGACGTTAAAAAAAAGGAGGGGTGCTTTAAATGACCAATACACCTATGAAGACATGTTTATCCTCCCTATTAATCAAAGAAATTCAAGTTATTTTAATTAGGTACCATTTGTCACCTATCAAATTAGCAAAGATTTTTCAAAAATAAATATACCCAGCATTGTTAAAGTCAGGGAATCAGACAGTCTAATTCATAGCTGGAGAGAGTACATAATTAGAACAATTTGGCTGTATGTATGAAAATCTTTTAAGCAGTTTTCATCCTTTGGCCAAGAAATGCCATTGAGAGAAATGTACAGTAAGAAAATAATCAGACAGGTACAAAAAGTTATATATAAGAATGTTCAGCACATCAGTATTTGCAACAAAAAAATTGGGACTGACCTAATTTTCCAATTGTAAAGATGTGTTTAAATGCAATCTGGCATATTGATAGAATGGAAGATTATGCATCCAGCCCATTAAAAAGTATAGAATCATTAATGCCCTGGTAAATGTTTATAAAATTATATATGAGAAAATGAGGTTACAAAGTAGAATATTCAGAGTAATTGAAAGTGTGTTTTGAGTGTTCCCAGTATTCCAGGGACTGCACATATTTCACTTTCAAAATAAAAATTAATTTAAAAAACAGTTCAGATAATTAATTAATTCATAGTTCAACCTTAAGAGCTAAATAGGGTTTTGTATGTTGATTGAGAGGACAGATATGTTTAGCCATCCTATAAATTAATTTATAAATTAATATACATTATCATAGAGTTAGAAATGTATACTTCATGTGTTTTTCAATGCTTTGAAGACATACAATACATACATGGACCAACTTAATTGAACTAAACATCTTTCTCTTCCCTGTGTGCACCCTAAGCCTTCCTGCCTGTAGGACTTAACTGATGCTCTCCTTTTAACCTAGACTATGCTAACCATTTTCACTTTCCCTATCCCTAACATAATCTTCAAATGTAAAATCCTAGATATTCTTAC